CATATACACATATATGTATACACACATGCATCTACATCTACACATACATACACCTATACACACATATGTATATATACCTCTACACACATACATGCACACACATATATACACATACATTTACATACACACGTACATATTCATTCTCCAGCCTCCCCCAAGCCCTGCTGCTTCTACATTCCAGCCAAGAGTGCACTGCCCGGAAACAATCCATCCCCTGAAACCCAAGCAGCCTGGGCTGACTCGCCCGGGAATGACTCTGGGATTGTGACAGCCACTCCCCACCAGAGGCAGTCACTCTGGAAGCCTCCCTGTGATGGAACCACTTTCACTGGTTGGTATGTTCTCTCAGAAAAGCTGTTTGTTCTAGAAGATATATTGGTCTTTTTAGAAACATTTCTGGTGTTGGCTAAGATGTTTATTACTCTAAACTCTCTTATAAGCAAGTGGTTCAGGTCCTCTCAGGACCCAGCTGAGGAAGTAAAAAGGCTTAAAGAAGGAGGAAGGACAGGCTCCTTGCCTCCCTCAAAGGAAAATGTCTGATTGGACACGTTGAGTGTCCTGTAGTTTGAGCAACAAATACAGATATGCTCCACTGACTGACAGTCTCCCCTCCTGCTTTGGTCAAGAAAAGAAAACCTTGAGAAATGGGCATTTGAGAAGAGGTACTATTAATCCCCTACCCTGTTCCAGATGTCTCTTGGCTGAAAGAGAGAGAAGAACTGACACAGGACACGTGTCACAACCTGTAGCACAAGAGATGTAAAATTTGAGGAGGGAGAAATTGACTTCAGGTTTGAAGTCAAATGAGGTTAGAAGCCCCCACTGCCCACGCTTGCCCAGAGAGCCATGGGCTGTGCCTGATGCTTTCTGTTCTTTCCAACCTATGGAGCCCCACCCAGAGGCTGGACGAGCCAGGAAAGAAAAACCTCAGGACAGAATAGACATCCTCAGAACAGAGCCTCCCCTCTATGCCAAAGACACAGATGCACTTGGTCTGGGAGGGAGGCCTGGGCATGGCCTGGCAAAGGCCAGGTGGGTCCAGTGTCTGGGGCCTCAAGGTCTCTGCTTCCTTAGAATTCTCCCATGGCTCCCTGGAGACTTGACTAACAGAATGGGAAACGCTGAGTCTGAGAAAAGGGTCTGCACCAGCTCCAGGATATTCATTTCAGCAAATGTTCTCACTCCTGGGAAAACAGAGGATCTCACATCTAATGCTTCTCCCAGGAGGAACCGCCCTGGCCATCTTTGCGCCTGTGAACTTGGAGATGATCTGTAGCTGAGCCTGACCCCTCCTGGACCTCCCTTCACTGGCACTGTGGCAGCCGCCTGCAGCTTTTAGAGAATGGCAGGGCTGCAAGGGCCCCCAGGTTGTCCACCTGGGTAATCCCGGCCCTCGAAAGCTAAGGCACCTTGTTTACCAAGAATACCCAGCTGGCAGAGCCAAAAGGAGATTCTAAAAAGTCTCCAGACCCTCAGTCTGGGGGCCTGCTACATTCCAGGCTACGAGGCCAAATAAGATCAAGAATACATCTTGCTTAAGACCAAGCCAAGCATTATGAAGGGAAATGCCCTTAAAAATCACGCAAGTTTCAAGTTCAGACAGTACTGGGGGACTGCTGGGTGTCTGGGTTCTCTCTCCTTTGTTTTTCTTTTTTAAAGTTGTGCCAGAAAGTCAGATAGTCAGACAGTTGCACGAAGGAACTCATCTGGGTCGAGCTGCTCTCTCCTGCCAGAGCGGCCCCTCTCTCACTGCTCTGAAGCTGAGGCTAGAGGCTCTCTGAGTGTCACAAACCCCTGCACTGCTTTTTAAAACAGAATAATCATAGTGAGCCTTCAAAATAGCTAAACACCACTCATTTAAACTAACTGAGGGAAAGGCTCATTTTTATGATCATTTTTAAAACTGGAGTCCTAGACTATCTGAAAAAAAGGGGTTGTTTAAAGAACATACAAAAAGAGAATCTTACTGCTAACGTTAAACTGGCTTTATTTAGCTGGCTGATACGTGGATGCTTCCAAAGTGCTTGAAACTGTCCAGAGTAGGCCAAACAATTCCTGTTTTGTCTCATTTACATTTTACATCTACTTCGTCAACCCTGATCCAATCATACGCAGATGTCCCTAGAGACGTGCAGGTAAATCTGGGCTTAATCCAGGTTTACTGGGGGCTGATTCTAAATCCACAGGCTCTGAATGAATGTGGCTTTGCTGTATCCATCAATGTGAGTCCTCATTTTATTGAGCAGTTCTATTCTTAGCTCTCCGAGGGGGAGGCAGACAGAGAGCCCCTGCCCTCCATTCCATTCCCCTCCCAGGACGGCATTTAACATGCTGCTCCTGCCAGCTGGCGGGCAGCCACACCAATGGCCCTGTCAGCACTGGCCGAGGAGAATGAGAAACTAAACCATAAAAGGCCACAACTGCAGCCCGTGTGGTGGTGATGGGGGAGGGGAGCGGGTGGCACCATGCAGAGCGGCCCCAGTCGGGGCAGGGGGTACTGGTTGCAGCAAAGCAGTTGCAAGAAGTTGACCCCAAAGATCCCCCACTGTGGGCAGATGAGAGAGGGCGCCAAGGAAAGCTGGAAACCGATGCCTACTAACGGGTGGGAATGTGGGGCCAAATCAGTGCTTCAGGTACAAGTCCAAGTGCAAAGGCAAACTAGATCACTAGCACCAAACCCTACCCCCCAAAATGTTCCTGACTCCTCGGGGGGACCGAGTAAAATAAGCATCCGGAGTCACCAGAGAGAGATCTAAGGGAACAAGGGTCCCTCCTGGCTTTTACAGATGAGCAACCTACTCCCTGAGCACTTGGTCCGCTGGCCTTCCAGAGTTAAAACTCCTGACCTAAGGAGACTAAAGAAAGACCAATGAACACCAGGTGAAAGGCTTTGGTGTGCACCTCACATGAAGGCCCGTAAGTGCAGTAGGACTGGCCTGCCATCCATCTGCTGCTCCTTCCCTGTCCTGAACGCCTGCCACCTGGGGGGACAGCGGGCTGAGCACGACAGTGGGAGACCAGTTAGAAAGCTAGTTTGATATTTCAGGAGACAGTTGATCAGGGCATGAAAAACACACAGTGATTGGGATGGAGAGGAAAAAGTGAACCTGATAATCAGTCTGAAGACAGACTCTGAACTCAAAACTGGGATGGAGGAGACAAGAAAAAGGGAGTGGGTTTGGGTTAGGAGGGCGCAGTGACCTCAGAAAGGTCACTCCAGCAGCCTAATGGGGCTTGGGAGCGAGGCTACAGGGAGCTGAAGATTGTTGCCAGGGAGGTGAAGAAGCAGACTCAACACAGAGACTGACACTTTCAGAGGGTTTGGCCATGAAGACAGAGCAAGAGAGAGGCAAGGGTGACCAGAGTGAGCCGCGATACTGCAGGAGTTATGCCTGCCTGCGTGCTTAGTGAAGACGGGAGAGCGCTGTCAACATTTCTGGGAGAAATAGGGGGGAAATTGAAGAGAAGAGGGGTCACGCGGAGCCCTCAAGAACTTGGGATCCAGAGCACAGAAGAAAGGTGGGCCACGCCTAGCGCCTGGAGGGTGGAGTCAGCAGGGGACAGGTAGAGAGACAACTGAAGGTTTGGGGCCACAAACATTTCTCATGGAAATAGGATGTGTCCTATTTCTCAGAGCGCTGAGAGGCCAAGGCCTGCAGGTGGGGGCAGTCCGAGGAATGGCTACCACAGAGTGTGGGAGAGGGCCCTGACCTGCACTGACGTCTCAGCTGAGCCTGGACATTGATGGAGTCCAGCACTGAGTCTATGGGTGGGTGTGATCTTCCTGCTGTAACCCCCAACTCAGGCACAGCAGCAATGCAGTTCAAAGGCAGCACTGATTCAAGGTGAGGGTTTGCAAGGGGCTGGGGTGGGGGCAGGTAGTGGAGCAGAGGGAGAGGGAGTCACAGGTGCTGGCTGGAGAGAGCCAGGGTAGCAGAGCTCAGGCTCTCCAAAGGCTAGAAAGGGAAGCCAGGAGGAGATTCATAGGAAGAGGAAAACGCTATGTGTGCAAGGTCTGAAATTCTCGACGAGCACGCAGGGCAGCGACAGCGTGAGAGCCGGGAGCCAGAGAGCTGGGAGGATGGGAGGCTGTGGGCAGAGGGAACCCGTGCTGAAGGAGCTGCCCTGGGAGGCGAGGTCCCGAGGTCTGGCGCCCCGCCCTCTGGGCCTCCCCATCCCGAGACTCACCCACCACGGTGAGATTGACCTGGGCCTGCCTGCTGCCCAGCTTGTTCTCCACCAGCAGAGTGTAGCAGCCACAGTGCTCCTGGCGCGCTGCCCGGATGGTGAGCTTGCTGCCGTTCTCGCTGTTCTCCACCTTGATGTGCTCACTCTCCTGGATCTGGGGGCAGAGAGTGGGGCAGGCGCTGGAGACGGGAGCCAGCAGAGGAGGGGGCTCTGACCCACAGTCCCCACTCCCTACGGGGTGCAGCTGCACGAGCTGTGTGGGGCTGGTCTTGTCTGGACTCTGGGTCTCCCCCTAAGGGCCCTCCTCTCCTGCACCCAGAGTCAAGCTGTCCTGATAGGGTCCAGGTCTGGGGCAGGCAGGGAGGTGCTGAGCAGGGTCTGGGGGTCAGGACACGAGCTATGCCTCCACTTGCTGCTCCAGACCTAAGTGAGGAACACACTGCTCTGGGATGAGATGGTGGGAGAAAACATTTGATTAAAGTCACTTACAAAGCCCACACAGCAGGTGTGGTTCTTTTGTGCTGTTAAATCCCACAGTCACCAGCCACATGTGGCTATTCAAATTTTAATTAGTTGTGTGGAAACAACCCAAATATCCATGGACAGATGAATAGATAAACAAAATGTGGTATATCCAGACAATGGAATATTATTTGGCCATAAAAAGGAATGAAGTATGGTTCATGTTACAACATGGATGAGCCCTGAAAACATTATGCTAAGTAAGAAAACCCCAAACACAAAAGAACATATGTAATTCCATTTATATGAAATGTGCAGAACAGGCAAATCCACAGGGGCAGACAGTAGGCTGGAGGTTGCCAGAGTCTATGGGGAGAGGAGAAATGGCTGCTAATGGGTCTGGGATTTCTTTTTGAGGTGATAAAAGCCGTCCCAGAATTAGAAAACTGTTATGGTTGCACAACCTTGTGAATACAGGCACACTTTAAAAGGGTGAATTTTATGGTGTATAAATTATATCAACAAAGCTGTTATGACAATTTTTAATTGACATCTAAAATTCAGCTCGGTTGCACTAGTCACACTTCATGTGCTCAGTAGCCCCACGTGTTCAGTGGCCACCATACTGGATGACAGATATAGAACAGCTCCATCACAACAGAAAGTTCTGTTCCATCACTACAGAGCTAGGACTTGGCTAAACATCTCTGAGAAGGGTTGAGATTCCATCTTACTTCAGACACCATGAGCCTAGACAAAACCCAAGCAAACGTGCTTTGGGATGAGGCCAGACCCTCTTCTTCATCTTTTGGAGCCAGCTCTTCCTTACCCCCCAGTACTAGCCTCCCACCTCTGGGCCTTACGACAACTTGAATGAGTTGGAAATAGAGCAACAGAGGTCTCGGAAGAAAGCTTCACACCTTCTGGGGGGTTCCTGATCCAGTGCCATTCCACTGTTCTGGGGCCACATGAGGCATGTGGGCACACACTGCCAGTGTGGGACAGGAGAATGACAGGCTCCCCAAGTTCTTTTAAAAGCTGGTCATTTGGAAATTCAAACATTTCCCCGCAGGACTGTTGTGATAAATAGGAGGTAGATTTCTGGGTCAATTAAGCCAAAATTCTGTTCAACGTATAATTATCTACTCAAATACTCAGATTCACTTTTATCTCTAAAGCACGTGGTAAGTTTAAGTGGTTATTACAGACAGGGTTCAATAAGCTGACACAAAATCACAGAGAGCTCAAGGTCTGAGAGGTCATTTAGGTCACTGGTTCAATTTTCCTGACTCTGAGTAGGATTCTAGCCAGAGATAATAAAATCAGGTGGGGGCCATGGGCATTTTATATTTCTTCCTTCATACTTCTCTCTATCACATAAATTGTCTATAAGGCAGGCATCCTTGGTAGATGCGGAAGAAAGGTTATTAAGAACTCAGACTTGGTGGGTGGGTGGCAGATGGGTGAGGGGTCTCTCCCACCTCCGTGGCCCCTGTGATGAGCAGTCATGCTGCCTCCATCCCAGCCCTTCTCACCCCTTTCGGCCCAGAGTGGATCTGGATTTTGGGAGGGTTGATCTCAGGCCACTGCCCTGTTACTGACCTGCTTGCGGAACTTCATCCAGGTGTAGGTGATGGGCTGGGTGCCTGCCACTTTCCCACACAGCTCCACCGGCTCTCCTGCACGCACCTTTTGGTCCTCGGGAAACTGGATGATCTGAGGGGGCATGGCTGGGGGAGGACAAGTGACAGCGTGAGCTCCGAGGAGGAGGGAGCCCCAGACATTCTGATCTTATTGGACGCTGCGGTCCACATTGGTCTGCTGCTCTTCCCTCGCCTTCCGGAACCTTCAGGGTAAGGTGGAGGGCAGTGACTGCTGCTCCAGAACACCTGAGCTGAGGGACCTGCTAGGTTTGTTGGTCTCTTGATCCTGATTCCTTCAAAAGTGGCCCACAAATGTGCATGGCATAATTCTCCACTTGTTGGTTGCTTGGAATCTGTGCCTTACCCTAATTTTTAAAATCTATGCCCTAACTCCTTTATTAAGAAACACCTTGCCTTCTAATCTTCGGGTCACCCTGGCTGATAGGCTCAATATGGTTCACATCCTTAAATGTCCTTCTGTGGAAAACAGACAAGGCTCTTTAGGACAGGAACATGCAAAGAAGAGCATTAAAATAGCACAAAGTGGATCATCTCCATACGGGGCAGACTGGGAGGACAGAGGGTCAAGTAGAGTTTTGTAGAAGGGATGAGAAAGTCACTAGCATCTCTCCCACATGATGCTGTCCATACAAGGGAAGCAGGAGAAAAGACAAGTAGAGGAAGAGGGTCAGGGACCAAGGTGTGCAGAGGCTCTCAGGGAAAATTCAGCCTAAATAAGCAGAGCTTGAACCAGGAAGGGGGGCAGTCTCCTGAGACCATATCCCCAGTAGCCAGTCTAGGAGAGCAAAGAAACAACGCCTCATGGCAGATGACTCCCTTGCCCCTAAATGTTGCTGTGGCCAATTACCTGCCTTTGGAGGCGTCTTGGGGGCAGGTTTCTTTTTCACAGTTGCATCACCTGAAACAAAGATGTTCACAGGTTATTGTCAGTTCTGTCTGGTCACAAAGCTCCTGAACCCTAGGAGGGCGCAGTCTTGCCCACTGGCCCCTCAGTCAGACAGAGCCCCCACATGAATATATCTTTCTAGAGATCTCACAGTCTCACATGGACAACCTCACAAGCAAATGAATATTGCTTCTCAGGGGGGCTTCTGGAGGGGGGCCCACGGAGCCTCCACTGAGATAAAAACTCTTAAAAATGCTTAACCTTCCACCATCCATGTCAATGAGGATAACCCCAAACTCACTACTGCTTCTCTTACCCTAGCTTTCAGGAAACTCAGAAGGGAAATTATGTTAGATAATCCAACTAAATTTAGCCTTTGGTGTGGATCCAAGGGTCTCAGGCTTCCTTTGGGTCACAGGCTATGGACCGGTGGCTTTTCATTTTTTTTAATGTTTGCTGAATGGATCAATGAATGAATGAATGAACAAATGAATGAACCAACCAATGGTCTCCTCCATTCTTACCCCTATGTTCCCCAAATAACTCAAGTAAGAAAAATAACCCAAATAGATCAGTTTTGCAGCACAAACTTACTCATTTGTCTAAATTGCAATATGGCAAATATGCAAAAATATCTTTAGCTATCTTCATGGCTTGTTTTCATATTTCTTTCAGGTCCTTGTTCAAAAGTCATCTAACCTACTTACCCAAGTGAAATGAAAACCTACATGCACACAAACACCTGTATGTGAATGTTTGTAGTGGGTTCATTTGTAATTTCCAAACATAGAGGTTATCCAAATGTCCCTCAACTGGAGAATGGACGAACTGTGGTACATTCATACAATGAAATACTACTTACTCATCAATAGGAAGGACCAAGCCCTGGTGAACACACAAATGAGTCTCAGTGATTCAGCTTTCTCTTCCACCGAGAGAAGCCAGACTCAAAGGCTATGTACTGCATAATTCTATCCACAGATCATTTTAGGAAAGGAAAAACTGTAGGGTCAGAGAAAAGGTGGGTGGAGGATACTGACTGCTGAGGGGCACAAGGACGTGTTTTGAGGTGACAGAGCCGTATCTTGGTTGTGGTGGGAGTTACGTGACTTCGCATTTGTCAAGGCTCACGGAACTGTGCACTAGAACAGGTGAATTTTACTGAATGCAGATTATACCTTAATATGAAAAACGAAAAGTTGGAGTCACTTAACAAATGAGATCCTCCCTAACCACACTGTAGCAAATAGCTGTGGTTTTCCATAGGAGCAGAGAATCAGATGGTGGTTACCAAGGGCTGGGTGAAAGGAAACATGGGAATTTGTCTTCTAATGGATATAAAGTTTGCATTATGCAAGAATGAATAAATTCTAGAGATCTTCTGTATAATACAGTGCCTATAGATAACAATCTGGTATTGTGCACTTTAAAATTTCTTAAGAGGATAGATTTCAAACTGTTAAGTGTTCTTACCAAACAAATGCACACACATACAGAACACAGGAAATGTCTGGTGGGGAAGGACATATTTAGTGTCCTGTTGTGATGATGGTACCACATGTGTGCATATGCCCAGACTCATAAAGATGTATGCATTACATGTGTGCAATTTTGTGTACATCAATTATGCTAAAAAGACGACATGTTTGCCCACAAAGAAATGGGAATAAATTTCAAAGGTTTAAAACCACACAAAATGTTTTTCTGAGAAGTGGAATTAAGCTAAAAATCAGTGATAATAATATAACCAGAAATTCTTCCTCCATGTCTGGAAACTCAGAAATAAAAATTCTAAATAAAACAACAACAATTACGTGTGGTTTTATGAGAGACTGTCCCTTTTTTAAGGAAATAATACTGAAGTATTTAAGTGTAGAGGATGTCTTATGTGCAACTTATTTTCAAACTGCTCATAAAAAACAACGTGTATGTAAGTATGTATAGATTTATACATGCATGTGTGAAGAAGCAGAAGGAAAAAGAGGTGGGAAAAGAGAGAGAGAATATATGACAAAGCAAACATGGTAAAACATTAATATTTGAGAAATCTGAGTGAAGGGTATATAAGAATTACTTGTACTATTTTTGCAGCTTTTCTATAAATCTGAAATTATTTCAAAATAAAAGTTGAACAGAAAGTTAAAAAAAAGTTTTATCTAGCCAACATAATGTAGTTGTTCAACTGAAGGAGAAAGAGAGAACACTGGTGAGGAGATGGGGGGGTGGGACACAGTGGGGACCCGAGGGGACCTGAGGACTAGGGGTGATCTGACCTGGAGAGGAGAGAAGAGCCCCACTGGTCAGGAACAGAGTGACTGAGAGTAGAAAATCAGGGTGATGCTTGGAAGAAGGTGGCCAGAGCACAGGGCTGGTATCAGAAAGCAGTAGCACGAAGATAGTGTGACAATTTACGTTAAAGAAAATAAAGAATTCCCTTCCCTCGGTGAAACTAGTCATATTTCAAGTGCTCAAGGCCATGCATGGTTAGTGGCTTCCTTATTGTGAAGACATAGAACACTGCCAACATCATAGAAAGTTCTACTGGATAGAGCTGGTTGGAAGGTCGAATCTGAGAGTCAGGTCTTTGTCTGGAATAAACAGGGAGTCCTGACACAGACAGCAGTCAGCTGGACTAGAGGACCCTAGAGGCCTCTCCAACTCTGGGAGCTAAGAATATCCAATTAGGAGGGCTATTGCCATACTCTTAGAGGAAACTGACCAAGGTCCAGCTTTGGTAAAGGCATCAGAGAAAAAATACAAATAAGAGATGGAAGAAAAGTTAAAAGAACTTACGGACTAAACAAGAGAGAGGTACAAAGATTCCTCAGGGATGTCTTGCTGGAATAAATGGGAAAGACTGTGTCGATGGAATACAGAACTTGGGAGTGAGGTGAGGAGTTTGGCTTGGTCCAAAAGAATGTGGTGCATGAAAGGGTTTAATCTGTGTATAGGCTAGAAGCCCAGGGTCAGAATCCTAGAGACAGCTGGTGGAAGCTGCATGTGAAAGATTTCAGGATCAAATGTGCAATTGTAATGGAAACTGTGAGGATGAGTCAGTTCTTTGGGGAAAAGAATACAAGGAAAGATGAGAAAGGGCCAGGGTCTGATCCTCGGCGATGCCCACAGCAAGGGGCTGGGATGAAGGGGAGGGGCTGTTGGGGGGACCCCACAGGTAGAAGGAGGACTGTCACTGAAACCCAGAGTGGAGGAGGATGGGCACTGGGAAGATGTGACAGCATCGGGTGATGGGTGGTGTTTGAGAAGGCAGGTTCAGTGGGACGGTGGGGTCAGAAGTTGCCCTGGAGGAGATTCTCAAGGAAACAGGTAGGGAGTCAACTCATCTGTCAAGAATTCCAGAGGTGAAAGGGACAAAGAGAAACAGGGTGACAGAAGTGGACATAACAAGCTAAGGTTTCTTCCAAGGTGAGAGAGGAGAGTACAGGTTTGAAAGCAGAGGGCTGGGACTAGGTGGAGAGGGAGAACCCAGAGATGCTAGCAGGGAGGAGCCTGAGAAAGCCAGAGCCCTCAGGAGTGGAAACCAGCTGGGATATGGACCACTCATCACTGGCTGAGCCACGAAGCCCTGCCCCTCCACATCCAGGGTTGCTGGGAAGGGAGAGGGCACAGCTGGGAGAGAGAGGCCCTGGAGGGAAGGAAGAAGGACTCTTACCAGAGCCAGGATCTGACCTCCTGGGAGAGGGAAAGCCATCGATTCAGGGAACGGTGTGGAGGGGTATTGTTACAGGCTGAGTTGGGTCGCCTACAATTCATATGTTGAAACCCTAACTCCTAAAACCTAGAATATGACTATATCTGGAGACAGGACCTTTAAAGAGGTGATTAAATTAAAAGGAGGCTATGAGGGTGGGCCCTAATCCAAACCGACTGGTGTCCTTATAAGAAGAGGAAATTTGGGCACACGGAGAGACACCCGGGACGCACGCACAGAGGAAAGGCCATGCGAGGACACAGCAAGAAGGCCACCACCTGCTAGCCAAGGAAAGAGGCCCCTGGAGAAACCGAACCCGCCAACACCTCGATCTCGGACCTCCCGCCTCCCGAACTGTGAGACAATGCACTTCTGATGTCAGGCCGCCCGGTCTGTGGTACTAGGTTACGGCACAGACAACGCCAAAGTCCCACCCTGTACTATTCCTGGAGGCTCTGGGTAAACCTATGTGGCCAGAAGCACAGCCTGAACTGATATCTCTCTTTCTGTAGTACAGTGAAACACGACTGAAGCCCAAGTTTTATGTTTGTTCTTTAAATTTGGAGCATCTCCTGTTTGAACTGGTTAGCATTTGAAACTGCTTTGGTTCCTCTCAGTAACAACAATTTTAAATGTTAACAATGTTCTGTGTCCTATGCTACACATATTTTATAGGACCATCTGCTGAAATCTATTCATTGTGTTCTGGGCTTAGAAGAGCATGATTCATGGATTAGAAAGCAGAGCCACCAGATTCTAAAATCCGGTTTCTCGTAGAGAGCTGGACTCAGTGAGTTGAGTTTCTAACCCATGGTCTCATCATCCTTTTGCTTATTGAGTTCTTACCACTACCAGACACAAGCAGGACACTGCACAGTTTCCATTTCACAAGAAAGGAGACGGATCCCAGTAAAACTCAGGAGACTTGCTGGGTTCATAAAACTACATGTGACCAAGTTAGCAACAGGACCTGAGCCCCCTGCTGCCCAGTGTCCTGCTGCTTTCTTCCTGTTGCCTGTGTACTCCAGCTGACTCTGCCCCATCTGCAAATCTAGGCCCTTGGAACCCGGCAGAAGTGCCGTGAGCATAGGCTCTGGTACTGGACTTGGGTTCAAACACTGCCCTGTTACTCTCTAAGCTAACTTAGGGCACCTTTTTAACCTCTTGGAGCTTCGGTTTCATCATTCAAAATATGTAGAAAGAATAAATAAACTTTGTTGTAAAGAATTGAGCTATGTTGTAAAAAAGGTATAGCATACAGCGCATGCTCTAATACCAGCACCCTCCTTCACCCCACTTCCAC